AGAGAGGTGATTGTTCAACTATTTGTTACAAACAGATTATTTATTACACATTTATGTATTTTATCTCATTATTTTATTTTTTGTTTACTTAGGTACAAGTCCCATAAATGATCAAATGAATTACCTAGCCAATATGTTAGGTCTTTCATGTCGAGCGTATGCGATGACTTGCAATCGGGTTCGGCCCCAATTGGAACTATTGTTGGATATGACTATCTTCACGATCTTCATACTCCTGAATTTCTCAATGGGATTAAGTGCTCCCGACTTCCCAACATAAATTGCACTTGAAGGTTGGCACTCCAGTGATGCTCCTCAGAAACATTGATCACTCCATGGGATTGTGCAACGATAATGTTGATTAAAATTCGATATTATGTATATTTTATTTTATTTTATGTACAAATTCGAGTGATTTGTTTTTGTTGTCCAAATTTTGATTTCAACAGGTACTCGATTGGTTATTACTAAGCTCAGCAGCCATGTCCTAGAATGTAGAATTTTAACCGGTGCCATAGCTGGTGATAAGGTTCTTATTCCTAGGCTCACAATCATACCATCTGATTTGAGGATACCGTTCAATTTTCAGCGCATACAATTCCCTCTCATGGTTTCCTATGCTATGACAATAAATAAGAGTCAAGGCCAGTCACTGTCGCACGTCGGCTTACTATTGAAGAGCCCTGTATTTAGTCATGAGCAATTATACGTGGCGCTTTCTAGAGTAACAAGTCAGAGGGGTTTGAAGATTCTAATTTGTGCTGATAGAGATTCTGAAGATAATAAAACCACGAACGTTGTATATAAGGAAGTGTTTAATAATATTTAGATTTTTTTTCTTGGGCTTTTATCAAGTGATTATGTTATTATTTTTCCTATTGTTTACAATTTATTGTATTTTTTTCCTCTATCGCATAGCTTTCCGTGAAAATGAAAATTAATTGACTAGCTCTCCGTGCAAATGCACGGGTTACAACTAGTTACTATAAATAGGGTGTACTTAATGCTAATGGCGGGAAAGAGTTTCAAAAAGCGAATTATGTTAACTCCTAATCCTTATTAATAGATGTGCATGTTTGATTTTGACTATTAGGCTTGAAAATTACCATAAACTATCTAATATTTCCTTTTTTCTTAAGTTACCATATAACATAATAATAATAAAAAAAGTTACCATATAACAGTCTTACCTTTTCTTATTTAATTCATATATTAATTATCATGAATTAGTATTTTTTATATTTAAAACTTTAAAACTTTTTTATTTGTATTTTGTTTTTTATTTATGATATATTAAAATAATTATATTTTACGATCTATATTTACGGCATCTGTATTGTATATATAAATATAAAGTAATTTCATCTATCTTTATAACAATATTAATTTTAATTATCAAATAACTTAATATTATATCAAATAAAAATATATTTTGTAATAATAAAATATATTTTAATTCATCAATACACCATAAAATAATTAATTTAATGTTTTTTTTTTCATAAATTTTGGATAAAACTTGAAAGTTAAGTATTACATGAAAACTTTTTTGTTTTAAAAAAAAATCGATTCAAATATATGGAGTTGTAAATAGTATCTGCTTTAGACATATATAATTTTAAAAATATAATTAAATTTTTTTATATTTGACGAATTTAGTATAAAAATGCGGGCGCCGTATTGAATTAATTAACACTTTGTTGGTTATTTATTGTTGTTTTTATTCATTATACATAATTTCACAATAAAAAAATATTTAAATTTTTATTGTACAAATATTAATATATTTAAATAGCCGTGTAGTACACATGTATCATACTAGTAATTAAATAATATCAAACAATCATTATTATACATCACATAAGTTTTAATCACTATTCATGCACTCACATAATTTTAACTAACCGACAAAGAGGAGTTAGCGTAGTTGTAATCATCCGATTCGGTAAAACACCATTAAAGAGATATTAAGAGAAAGATGACCATTGAACCGACGTGATTTTAACACCACACTGGTCCAGGCGACGAACCGGACCGAGCTACCGAAGACCGAAGTGGTCAACACCTACCGAGGTCTACTTAAACCGAGATCGTCACCTCCTTAAGCAGGTGACAAGGTGCCTACGCACAACCATCACACTCCACAAGATCCGTCATCATTTATGTGGGACCCACTGCTCCAAACCGCCCACAAAAAGCTACTTTATCCAAAAAGTAGTACACAGATCCCAATGTATCTACCAAAAATTACTATAAATAGTGAACCCACAACATTTGTACAGAGATCTCTCTCCGAACTGAAAAAATTATTATGCAACACGCAAAAGCCCATCACGGCTCTTCACCTCGGTTCACCTCGGACCGGGGCCATTATTGAGTTACTTCTACATGCTTTACGTCCACATTATTCATTATTCCCATCCTAATTACGTGTTATATCGTTGTTAAAAATCACATAACAACAGTAGTGGCGCGTACCTTTGCTCGGCGTATACCATGTCCCGAGTTCGAGTCACCCGGGGGGAAATTGGGGAACCAGTATTGATCCCCCTTTTAAAAGGATGAAAAAAAAAAACTAACCATCATTTCTCTCATACTTTTACATCAAATCAACTTTAATTATTCTTTTCTAAATATTATTTTAATATAAACTTAAAATTCCACTAACAACTAACCATACAAACTTTTTCAAAATTTAACTATAGTTAACAAAAAAACTCGTTTTGAGCAAATATATTTATATCCAAGCACGCCCTTAATCTAGTCATTAATATGCAGTATTACTGGTCAAGTTGGTAATATCTATGATATTAACAAACTAGCAAATATAATAATATATATAAATAGAAAAGAATTCTAGTGAGAATGTTTCTTATGGAAAAAAAATGTACTATAACCATAGGATTCGATCACTCAACAAGAAGCCAAAATTATACTTTTTTTTTTCAAACCACAATTATCAATAACTAGAAAAACTAAAAAAAGTACAAATGAATTTTCATTGACACAGTAAGAACCAGAAAGCCTGAACTTACCCCCTTAAAAATACACATGAATCCAAGGGGTACAAACTCCATCGAAGAGACAACCGCACACACCAAACTCAACTCCATAATGAAAAGTGGACACCACTGGACTTAATGAAAAAACAAAGAAAGATAAAAACAACTCACACCTAATAAACAAAGTAGAATAATATCTCCCCTAAATCTAGTAGCTGGACCTCACGACCACCTAAATGACTACCGAGTCACATCCACAACAAAGAATGCCAACCGAGCTAGACATTAAACCCGAAAATTGCGGCAACTCAATCGGCTAGACGAATTTTCGGTCCATATCTGGAATCCGAAGAACTTCAACAGCGGGGAAAGAAAGGGGGGTCGTCAAGAACTCGCCGACTGGCCCAAGAAAAGGATCCTACAAGACCACCCACGGCAGCCCACTACCTAAAGGCCCAGCCCTGTGGACCGGCGAGCGACGAGAAACAAACCACCATGATTGGGCACGACCAACAAGAACCTCCAAGGTGTTGAACAGGGCGCGCAAGATCAGACCTCCGTCGAATCAGCGGACGCTCATGGCTGGGACTGAAAACGGTGGTCGGCAACCCCTCTGAAGTTGGGGGGAAGGTCGACAAACTAAATCCCCCGTGAACCACTTCACCTGTAGGCTCCAGGAGAGGCAGGAAAGGGGCTCCACACCCATCAATTTTATTAGATGAGGCCCTATTTTACGGGTAAAAGTCAGCTTTTGGTTGATATCCCTCCTATAATGGGCTTGAACGAATCCATAATAGTGAACTCAATAGTAGGACAGCCAATCAAGCCCAATACACGACTCCAACTAACCGAACAAGTGATATATCAAGCCAATCTATCCCACCCAAACAAGCTCCCTCTGTGTGTGATCGTGAAAGTACACACAATTAAGCCACAAAAGCCATCGTCTGATTCTTCCCCTCTCTGTTTCGTCTGACATCCAAACAGATTCAGACACTCCTCTCTACATTCTGCGAGCTCTACATTTTCTCGCCATTGATTACCTCCGTTGAGAAATTCTCGTCGCCAATTAGGGTTGCAGGTTGCTATTTGGTAAATTCACTGAAGCTTTTTCATTTATATTTTCTTCGAATTGAGATTTATTTTCCTCATTTATATGTATATATGTTTACCCATTTATTTGATTATGGAGTCTCTCGTAATATCAAGTGGATTTAGGTTTTTGTTTTGGAACATGTTCTGCATATATTGTTCTGGGTGTCACTAATATTCTTGTTTAATGTTTGTTTTTTTTTTTCCCCTTTTTCTTGTCAGTGTTTCTTGTTTTTTCTAGACGTTTTTACCTGTTTCTGTCACGTCTAGAAGTCGAAAAACATTAGCTGAGATGAAATGTTACTGTAAACTAACCATTTTCATTTCTTAAGGAAATATAGAACACAAATTGTCATGATGAAACAAAAAGTGTAAGCCGATAGCTTTCGTGAAGACAAAGCCAATAACATGATAAGAGACGAACAAGTGTTACTCTCGGACGTGATACAAGAAAAGGGCCGAGGAACACAATTTAGACTCTCGGACGTGATACAAGAAAAGGGCTCATTGTTATTGTTATGCTCCTTCGCAAAAGCTCATGCTAAAAGGGGGCTTTTAGTGGTGAAAAGAATGATCTTGGATTATCTATTGCAGGATTTAGGAACAAACGGAGAAAACGGATTTATGGGGTTTTTTTACTTTACTTTGCCTTCCTTTTCTCTTGGTTCTTTCTTATCCTATTAATGAAAGAGATGCGGTTGATAGAGAGGCCACGGCCTATGAATTAATCGCCATAATTTTATCAGATGGTGACAGAGTACATCATACTAGGCACCTGGCTTAGAATATTTCAGTTACATTTTTCTTTTTGCAGCTTTACTGTTTCCTGTTTGCTTGCTTTTTTAAATATGAACATCTTTTAGCCGACCTGAATTGTGTTTGCACGTAAGAGGTAATTGCTAGAAAATGGAGCTGATGCTTAAAGGCCCAAGGAAGAAGATGGACAAAAGGAGGCGTAGCTGGTCAATCAAGGAAGAGGAAGTCTTGATCAATGCTTTGAAAGATATCATATCCAAAGGCTGGAAATGCGAAAATGGTTTCAAAACAGGATATCTGAGGCTACTTGAACGTGTAATGATGAAAGCTTTTCCAAACACGGACATTAGAGCCGAACCTCACATAAACTCAAAGATTCACGTTTGGAAAAAGCATCATGGGTCATTGGCTTCCATGATCAGGGTAGATGGCATAAGTTGGGATGACTCAACCAAAATGATTAAGGCTCGGGAAGACGCGTGGAATTCATATGTAAAGGTACAGTTCACTTATAGGTTATATATTGTATTAGCTTTATACTACACTTTCTTTTTTT